GTCAGGAAGCTTTGCGCCCGGTGGATACCTCATAATTTGACTGAGGCTCAAAAACTCCATCGTGTGGATTGGTGTCGTAAAATGATTGAAAGATTTAACGGAGGTGACTCAAATGCTGTGTTCGACATACTAACAGGTGACGAAAGCTGGATTTACTGTTATGATCCTAAAACCAAAAGACAATCTGCTCAGTGGGTGTTTCCTTTCGAGGAGTTGCCAACTAAAGTGAAGAGAGATCGAAGTGCGGGAAAAAAAATGGTGGCCTCGTTCTTTGGAAGGATAGGTCATTTTGCAACAATTGTGTTAGAGGATCAAAAAACAGTTTCTGCAGAATGGTACACTACCAATTGTTTGCCACTTGTCTTGGAAAAAGTTCGAGAGAAACGACCTCGCAGTAGGATCCTCCTTCACCACGACAACGCCTCGTCGCACACCGCCAAGCGAACGATCGACTATTTGGCGACATCAAACGTTGAATTACTGGGTCACCCGCCGTATAGCCCCGACCTCGCGCCTTGTGATTTTTATTTATTTCCAAAAATTAAAGAAAAACTTAAAGGAAAGCGGTTTATGAATGCTGAAGAAGCGGTGGCTGCGTATCGCGATGCCATTGAAGAGACCCCTAAGGACGAGTGGGCAAAGTGCTTTTCCCAGTGGTTCCATCGCTTGCAGCGGTGTATTGACGTGAATGGACAATATTTTGAAAAGATATAATAAAACTAATAACTGGCTAATGTAATTAGTTTTTGATTTTCTAAGAACTTTCAGTTTGACCCTCGTATCATGACAAATTAATGAAATGTATGTGAGATAGATTGGTAAATTTATTAAGGAAAAGAGAATAGAAGAAATAATATTTTGGGAGAATATTATTAAAAATTTAACTGCTCAATTTTACAAGCCCGTTTTTTCTTTTGCCTTTAAGCCCAATTTCAATTTAGAACATCTACAAAAATAACATTTCGAAAGACACTTAAGAATAACTTGATATGCAATTGATTGCATAAAGTTATTTATTTTGCGTAGTTAGTTATAATAAATAGGTAAAATAATCATATCACTTGTCATTTTATATCTTCAAGATGATATTTTTCGTATCAGTAGCTTCGATTATAAATGATTATTATCTTTAAGAAAGGTAGATAAAGACGACTGAAGTAAGCGATGTAAAATAAACTATTATAGGTATATACCTAGACATTAGCAACTTTCACAAGGTCCGTTCATAAAGTGGATGACCAAACATTTATTATCTCGAGCTCTCCGTGCTTCGGAAGGCACATTAAGCCGATGATCCAGGCTGCATCTGTAGTGGAAAACACCTACCAATCCACACTGGCCCGCGTGACGGACCATAGCCTATTCTTAAGTAGTGGGGGCGAAGCTGGTGACGATGATACTAGAGTTGCTTATCGACAGTCAACTATCGCTAAACCCACGTCACACCAATACTATCTATAGTCTATCTTTAGTATCGACAATGCAAAACACTGAAAACTATTAATGTACAGAAGACGTCAGGTTACCACAATATGTCAAATTTCAGCAACTGACATTGAACTCTACCATTAATGTATTAAGGTTTAAAATCTAGTGCAGAAATTAAGTTGTATATAACCTGACGTGCTGTTGACTGTATTATAATAATGTGATAGTAGGATTAGCTATATCGAAATTAAAACAAAAGAGAAGAGAGAAATATTATCTATTCTACTACTACTGAATTTAATATATTTGGGTTACATTATCGATACTATCGATCGATATTACGCTAGTAATATCAAAAAGTATATTCTCGATAGTGATCTAGATATAATAATAATATTTTGTATTACCATATTATAATGAAGAAATTAAATAGGTATCACTACTCCTGCTTACGCAACAATGCAATTTCAGTTAGTTTTTTTATTATAAAAAATGTCAAACTAAGCCACAACGATGCATAATCAATATAATAACTCAATGTTTAACGTAAATAATTAAGACAACTGCAAATTATTATCAACGAATACAAGTTTTATAATGTTATTCTATTCACGAAATAGGAATAATCGAATTTTATATTGAAACCGGTAATTGAAAAGATAATATAATTAAATAACGGTTCACATAATTTCTAAGATAGTACAATAATAATTATGTATGCTGTTTTAGCAAATCACTACGTTTTATTTAATGACACGAACTTAACGAGTTTTAAATCACTCGGCTACTAAGCATAAAAATAATAAGTCATTCTCCGTTTAGTATTTACAAAATTTCTCGCGTGATACTAAATTTTTAAATGCGCCATTTGCATAAATAAGTTTTCACTGCACAAAGACAAATATTGTCGGCTGTTTTTCTAATTTGGAGTCAAACTGTGATATTCGTTACAAACCACAAATTGTTCAGAAAAACTTTCCTCGGTTACTTTTCATAAATAATGGAAAAATAGATAACCGCAATATCCAATGTACTCAGTACATAATCAACACTTACTATAAATTAGAATTGAATTTTATGTTAATAAATTATGTAAATAAACTATATTTTCGTATAACTAACACACACCACAAAATAATGAAACACAACTATTTTTAAATAAAAGAAAAATTTCTAAATAGTTCTAACACTTTCCACGCACAGTTTTTTTTTTTAATTATAAATGTCTATACTTCTTGAATATTTAAATTGAAACTTTAATACGAAACTATTGTTTCAAAAGAGGTGACATTAGTTTTCGCGCGTTCTTTTTTTAATACGCACGTGCGATATGATATAAAGGCGCGCGGAGACTGTCTGTCTACTAACTTTTATCGTTGAAGTTCAAATCGCGCATTTCAGACAGCGCTAACGCCATAATAGGCAATGTTTGCTTGTTATCTGTGCTTGCAGTTTCTACAACCAAGTTTGTAGGCACCCATTATCGTGGGCCGTAGAGTTGAGGCGTATAAATAGAGGTGGTAATTAGCATCTTTTTGGTGAGTAGGTATGTTTTGTATGTATTGTCTTTGTGTGTTAATGAAGAGGCTGTTAAAAGGTTTTTTTTTATTACATCATCCGCGTATCGTGTAGCTTCCAATAGATGAAAGCCTTTTTCAAATCGGTCCCGGTGTTTAGGAGTCAATCAATGCAAAACAAATACAAATTCATATATTACCTCTTCATTGTATGGCATAGCCTATACTTGCTTTACATTAAGGCACGGCTAATAGAACCAAATAGGTCCTATTGTAAACATGTGCATAGAATCACCGTTACTCGACAACGGATTGTAAAGTATACAACTACAAACCCAAAGAACAATGGTGTATAATTTCATGGTGTACGGCAATGATATTACAATAAAGTGGTGTACGGTACCACGGCAACGAATTATTATGACTATTTACACTCGTATAGGCGAGATAAGTAATTACTTGAAAATATGTCATAACTTAAGCATCTCAAAAGTCACCGTACCCTAGCTATGTGAAAAAACTATAACCACATAATTGATACCACTATTAATGACGAAGTATATAAAAAAAAAGAAAGCACTAAAAAAACACCTCCACTAGATGGCGACCCTAGCAAAAGTTGATTTTTGCAGGAAACGAATGGACCAAAGACAGTCATTTCTGGGGGCCAATTCTACTAAATAAATTTTATTTAAATCGAATCGAAAACGGATCGAAACTACAGTTTTTAATGGTTTTCCTATTCTACAAAGTGACATACGATACAATTCCAGTTCTATTTTAGCTGGAATTGTATCGTATGTCACTTGGTAGAATAGAAAACCATTATAAACTGTAGTTTCTTCGGTTTCGATCCGTTTTCGATTCGATTTAAACAAAATTTATTTAGTAGATTTGACCCCAGTTCCCCAGTTGGAAAAGTTGTCATGGAGAAATGAAGAACGTACCTTAGCGACGTCTAGTTTGATTTCGGGAATGAATTTTTTTTAAATACTTCCTTATTACCAGCCAGAAGCAGATATGCCGCGCTAATACATTCGCTTCAATTTGATTTACTTTGGGTCATATGAAAATGCACGTTCTTGCAAAACGCAAATTGGTCGTTAATTACTGTATTGACATGTATTGAACATACACATTATATGTTGTTAGTTAACAAGATATAGGAAAAATATTAAGGACCTGCGTTTAAATCGCACCTGTGTATGGCAGATCAATAGTTTGTTATAATTTAAATCAAGCATATTGATTACAGTACTGTCCACCGCAGAGGTGAAAGTGCTTAATGAGTGTGAAGTCAATAGGGTTTCCAACCGTACTGTTTTGTTGGTAGTAATATGTATCTGCTCGGCGTGTAAATTGTGAAAATAACCCAGTTACACAAACATTAAAATGGTCATTAATTTCAAACGACATTACCGATGGAATAATTATATCTAATTAAGAAGGTTCATTAGAGCTTAAAGTTCTCATTAAAAACCCTTTGTGCAACTAGTTGTAAAAGTGTTTAATAATTTGTAGTATGGATATATGTATTTATATAATTATGTTACTGAGGAACATCAGATAAAAGAAAAAAGTAGATTAAAAATTTGAGACCTGTAATGCCATCTAGCGAATCCAACTTGCAGCTCCTACTAACGTATGAAGACACTTATTACAATGTCTCTACAAAAAGCAGCTAGTGGTTTTCATTCATTTCATTTTCATTGTATTTAGCTAGATGGCACCGGTTGACACTCTTTCTTTAACTATAGAAATGACCACTAATGCAGTAAGCTACGTAATGTTACATTAAAAAAAAAACTATAAAAATTATAAGAAAAAGTAAACTGAATATCTATATAATAAAACAGGAAATTAACATTTTTCTAATATTAACACCATGTACACTTACACAAAGAGATGTAAACAGAGGGCTAGTATTTCATATCCTGATTCTCAATCAGCGTGGACTTTAGTAATGGCTTTGTTGTCTTTTTAGTGCCTAACTTAATATAAGGAGTTTTAAAATAAGAAGTGAGGTAAAACGATAAAGAACTAGGGGAAACGTACCTTATCAGCCTTGTCGGTAGGTGGCGACGCTGGAGGACTGCGTGGCAGACCTAGATCTTCGTCATCATCGCTGACGTCGCCGCGTCCTCGCCGCCGCACCGCCGCCACTAGCTCCGCCTGTCAGGCCAAAAAAATTACCTTCACTAAAATATTACTTTAACCGCCATCTAGCGAATGCGAATCGTAAACTTATAGCTCACTCATAAAATTTTTCGATATTTTCTCTCCCATATTATATTTGTATTTGAAAATTCCAAACCGAAGCAACTGTATTTTGTATTGTTTTAATCTTATTTACCTAATAATTTTCCTCCTGAAATTCAGAGGAATTTACGTCATTCTATAATTAGTACAATGACTTCATTGCAGTCGCTAAACAATCACAGTACTGATATATTTATTTTCTTATAATATACCTATTATCAATGAAAATGTCTATATACTTTAATATTAATTAAGGTAAGTGCATAGCTTGTTTTAATTTACTAAATATTTTTATTTCTTAAAACTAAAAACAAAATTTCAATAACCATCGATAATAACGAAAGCTCATTTCTATGAAGAAAACAATAACATTTTCTAATAAATGTATATTATTTTAAATATAATCAACAACGAACGGATACGATAAGTGATATCAGTATACTGCGTTTCCTTTTTATATGAAACTAACAAATATTATTTCAGTCATCGTTTACTAGAAAACAAAATTATTGATGTAATATAAGGATAAAACTATTATAATAATATGACTACGTATTAAACAATACCTAGTCATGTTATTATTCAATTATTACAGTGCTATAACTTCAGGCTAGTTTTTAATTCCTTTTGATACGAACAAGTTCGTACATCACTATACTCTGAAAATTGGATTCCAGATCAAAAATATAATATCCAAATATTAACAAAAAGACATTTGACTTTGAACCGTAATTACTATGTATTGGATTTTTATCACGTGATAACAGAATTCCATCACCAAAATATGAGATTATATCTCTTTTTTGTTTCCATTTCAAACAATCTTTTCAAGGCAAACATCCGCAGTGTCGCCAACTTGACTTGAACATCCTAATGGATGATATATTTATCATGATTTATATCGGAACTTTGTCTTTTAGCTTCCGTGATTAATTCTAGACGACACAAATCCTTATAAACGGGACAAGGATTCCACTAGCGAATTTTAAGTGGGATTCCCAATAATAATAGCATTGAATATTCAAAACAGCTCTTACTGTCCCATACAGCTCTATACAGCGCTTAAGAATATTAAAAAAAAAACAATCCATAAATTGTATTAATTTATTAATGATTATAAGTATATTAATAAGAATAGACAATTAGAAAGCTTTATTACTTTTTAAATTGAGTTGATAGCTTATAGACTGATGGTCCGGTTTTGGTATTTTATGATAAACGTTAAATACAACACATATCTTATTGATTTGTTAAATAATAATTGACATTTAAATATTTTAGTTGTTGACGTACCAAATTTTGAGCAAAACACAATCGCAGTTTCAATAACAAACTGTGCAAAGTCATAATTTAATATGTGTGGATAGAAAAATACCTTCAAATAATTTTGTAAACATTATTGGACTCGATAAAATGGAAATTGGAAATGATGTGCAGTTCAAATATCATTAAACTTCACATTTTAACCATATATCTATAAATACTATACTATATAAAATCATAAAAATAAACGAACCCAAAACCGAGCGATCTTCCCTTCTGTTACCCAACAGAAGCGTCTTTTCCATGCTTGACTCATAACACTGTTTAGGCACTCGCTACTGTAGACCACTGAACATCATCACTCAACACAAAGCAAAATTCACTAATAATGAAACAGACCAATAACGAATTTGTACTTAATTTAAATACGTCTGTCGATGAAGCTTGCAATATTAACACTGAAATAGGACTGACTCAATTATTACTCATGGGAATATGAAAGAAGGTAAACAATATGAATAACACTATTATAGTTAAAGGAACTTCATGGAACAATAGGATTAAAGACAAATTATTAGAAACACTTAGTGCAGGTATACGAAATTATCACCCTTTTTATCTTCAGAGACCACTGTCTATTGTTAATCAATAGAACGCATGACCGTTGAGTTGAATATTATAGAAATTCTCGGTGTTATGTTTACACTGTTTGCAGGTTCATAGATCCGCATAACTTAAAATTATTTTTTGAATAATTATCTGATATTCTAAAAAAATCCTCACAAGAATTTCACTTTCACAGTATAACTTCTTATTTCTTTTTCGTTATAAATTTGGCTTTCTATTTAATTTAGTTTTGGTAAAGAATTACACAGTTTAACAAAAAAATAATATTATTATAATGTGAACAAAAATGGTGCTATCTTATTGCTTATACGTCAATAACGGAATAAATTACATAGAAAACAGAATATAAAATTCCCAGTATTTCGCTTTTAGTTCATCAAATTATCAAAAACTCTCTTTCCCGCATTCATTTTAAACTTTACCGTTTTCAATAAAGGTTCAAAATAAAATACAATAAAATATGTTACCTGCATATCAAAGCTCAAAATTCTTATCGGTTAAGGTGCAAACGAGTTCTTGGATGGAGTATTATTCGGCAAGTGTATTATAGAACACCCTAGGATAACTAAACAGTGACGATTTGCGATAAGCCAAAGAGTCAAAAGAAGATGGCGCGCGTTGAAGTTGTTTCAAATGTGTTAGTAAAACATTTTAGACTTCAGTTGATTAGTCAACTTTGACATCTATATTATTAAGATGAAGATTTACTTGCTTATATTTTTACATAACTACTTCTAAAATCTTAAACATTGCATGAAGAATAGTCCCAAAATGTAACCTTGAGGTATTTCATTTACATATGCGTATAAATCTCTAGGAAGTAAGCTTAGTACATAACTATTTGATATAAAACTGTTACGGTTTAACTGTGACAATGACGCGGACTTGATATTTACACCGATTTTACCGGGTCCAGGTTATCAAACGCATTGCATAAATCATAACAACCGCTAACATTTCCGATTTCGCAATGGTCGACAACAATGGAGGTTTATCAAACTATCTTATTGTTGCTCCGAAACTTTTCCCATTTCAGAACGATGCTTAGGTGTAAGGCTATATAAGAATGCTAATAGGCTAAAGAAATAATAACGCGATGCGCTAACTGACACGGTTTCATCTTGAATGCATTGTCTAAAAGGATGTACCTGTGGACTAGCTAGTTATGGAGACAACTAATCTGAGACATAAAATTGGCAATCAATTACTAAAAGTAATAAATTATAGTATGTTAAAGATAAAATAATTTAATTCATTTATGAATAATATCAAACGTTCAAGCTTTTAATGTTTCGACAACTTAGTCTGCTAATAAAGCTAAGGAAGGAAGTCGTTTTCAGTCAGTCTGAATTACTAAGTATACTTTATTTATTAATAGACTTAAAACATATTTTCCTCTTTCAAAATACACACAATATTAGTATTTTTTCATTATGCATTAAAGTTCAAAATTATAAACATAAAAAGTACTATTAAGTAACAAGGATTAGAATAAATATACGCTAAAATTGCAATTTTAATATTAGTCTAAATTCATGTTACACAGAGAATAAGCAAACCTACTACCTTCTAGGAGTAAATATTATTCCGGTAGAACCTCATACTAGGTTAACCTTTGCTAAGTCTCTATTTAATAACATGAATTTTGACTAATACTAAGTGCAATCTCAGCGTAAATTTACTTCAACGCTAAACTTTGTTTGTTAATAACACTGTTTCAGTGAGTTATTAATTACTCTCATGCTTAAATGTTCAGGTTTAAATAGGTTTTAAACTAGAGTACGAGGTATCAGCCCGTGTTTTGGCCGTACTTTAGAAAGTAACAATGGATTATTATGCTAAAGAATTTTATTTATGTATGTATGATATACAAATCATAAAGTCAAAGAAATATCAGTAATACCAATATAACATATATATTATACGCGACTAATAAATAATCATCCTTTTTAAAAGTAATTTTAATGTACTGTCAACTGTGAATATAAACAATGTTTCCAAATCATAATGAACACCTCTTTTAAATGCTGTTACGCAAGCATCTGCGAACGTCTGCGAAATAAATATTAGTAAAGTTTCAAACGTCAGTCCTTCCTGTGTTTTGGCACTGGACCTCTGAACAGCTGGCCTAAAGCCACAATGTAAACAAATCCGGTCCATAAATTAATAAATAACGGAAAAGCACTAACAATTAAGAAAATTTCGTTTTCCACTGATAGATTTTTACAGAGCCAAGCGCAAACATAATCCAGTACCTATCTAAATTTCCAATCTAAATCCATAATATTTCGCAATCCAAATCACTGCTCTAACCCATTGAGCTTGCTAAGATTGGAGAATTTTTAAGCACTTGTTACTTTCGCTTCTAGTAAGCGTATTTTCATCAATGTTGCCATCGTAACATCATTAACCATTATACTAAATCAAGAACACATACAAACTCGTTGGTAATGCCGAGAATATCTGAAAGTTAGTTCTCCCCGTTCTACGCTACTAAAAATGATTTTTTGGACTTGGTACCTACAAAATGTAGTATTTTTTTATACTTCTAGAACAGTCGTTTAACGTTTAACTTTCAGCTGCGTATTTTTCACACAACCTATCGGAATTACATCATTTTCACCATCAGAGGCATTTAGGATTTCGATTTAGGCGAAGACAAAAGCATCACATTAGTTCAATTACATCACAGACATGATATACCTACCCATTCTTAATTGCAGTTTATATATATTTATATTACTATATATGTATACTATGGAAATAGAAATCGCAGCCTAAAGCTCGCATACAATGATATGCAATAACATTCAGAGGTTGCAACAGTGAGTGACGTCAGACATTAGTATACAACGTTCATCTGCATATACCGTGGGCGTATTGCAAAACCAAAGCATCCGACACCACGTTTTGACACTACGAGGAATTTCGATTAGCTGTTCGGTATTAAAATTGGTTTATTTGAAAATTTCGAGGACACGTGTTTTGTGCTGTTATTTCTGTGATTTTTAATAATATAGGAA